CTAAAATATGTGCTCAGTTGCTTCAGACTCTTTGTGACTCCATGGACCATAGTCCACCAGGGTCCTCTGTCCATGGGATTTTCCCAGCAAGAATACTGGAGTGGGTTTCCATGCCCTCCTCCAGGGGATCTTCCTGACCCAGGGATCAAACCCATATCTCCTGTAACTCCTGCAGATTCTTTATCTGCTGAGCATCAGGGAAGCCCCATTATATATATATATATATTCTCTAAGTCTCTACTTAAGCTATGTAACCATATGGAATGCAGTGATGATAATGTTTATATGTTCTTGGCTTTGTTCTCTCAAAGACTTCCTCAAGCAGAACATTCTCAAGTAGTCATTTTCTTTATTTTTTTATAGTGTAGAAAATGGTGCCAGGGTAGTAGGAGTCAGAATGAAGGGTCACCTGGGAAAATGAAGGCTGGGGAGGAGAGATTGCTGGCCAAAGACTCCTTCTTAGGCTGATCAATATGAGAAGAGGGAACTTATGAAGGAAGCTCTTGAAATTTACTTCCAAGCATCTATATCCACCTGCTATAAACCATTGGTGGGGACATTAACTGCTTCCTTCTTTGTAACAGAAGGGATGAGGAAAAAAGCCAGTTGGAGCAGGGTAGGTAAGCTGGGGACTTGGTGCCTTGAAGGTGAGGAAAATTCTGTCTGATGCCTCCAGCTTTCATTATGAATAATGAGTTTTTTGACTACTGAAAGTAGGTGTGCAGAGAGGTGAAGGGCATCTGATGTTGGAAGCAAGTGGAGAAAGTATGAAATGACTGCTGCAAAGAGCTGAAACTAGTAACTAGAATGGAAGCAGGCTAGGCAGAGCTGAAGTTGCAGGTGAGGCTGTGGTCATGAATCCAAATCCACATCATTCTGCCCAGCTGAGGGATTCTCTTTAGTGATCTTGAAGCTCTTATTTGTTGTTTGTGAATTTGGTAAACTGTTGATCTTCCCCTTATGTTGAGGTATAACATGAATAACCACACAGAGGCCTGATGATCACAATAAGTTTATCAAGGTCCTTCCAGGGCTCTTCAGCACAAGGTGGCTTGGGACAGCCCACCATTTACATAGCACGTGGTGGCTTTCTTTTGTTTCTCACCTTCCCAGTGAATTGAGTGACAACTTCTTCTCCTAAGCATAAATACCTCTACACCACCTCGAGCTACTGTCACCCCTGTGAACAAGGGTGAGGGTAGAAAGGGTAAGGAATGTCTGTTTTTTCCCATTCCCAAGCAGATCTTGATGCATGTCATGGATGCCAGAGAGCTCATAATTGCCCACATGTATTATCAAAGGCCAAGATAAGGCCACGAGGAAAGAAAAGATCAGAAACTCTCCAATGTATCCTCTCTCCTGATCCCCTCACCTGCCTTGTCATGGACTGGAAGGAGAGGGATGAGTTGGAGTGGGCTGAGGGCATTTGGCTTATAAATCTCTCCCGAGATGTGTCTTTCAGAATCAGGCTCAAGTTGAGATATTGCCTAAATATCATGGTATAGGGTAGGCCCCGTGCCTGTAAAATCTAAGATTCTACCAGTCAACTCAGTCTCTGACATTGTCACTGAAGTGCCACAGCCATGGAAGGATGGGTTTTCCCATAGTAACAAACTATACCAAGTTACATTTTTAAAACATATAATAATACATTCTCATGCTCTGGGTATGAGTTCAAGGATCTGTGGCACAAATAGGAGAAATGACTGCAGGTCCCAAATTAGTGTTAATGCAGTGTCTCAGTGTTAAGGAGCCATTTCTTGAATTTTCCAGAGCCTCACAGCATGCTTCTAAGCTTCTCTCCATGTGTGTCCAGGGCCATACACTCTTTGTAACCACCATAATGATGATAGTAAATCTGCTGAAAATATTTCAAACCTTGATTTCCAAAGCTGGGGCAAGGGAGACTTTCCTGGGAGTCCAGTGGTTAAGACTGCACTTCCCCTACAGGGAACACGGCTTTGATCCCTTGTCGGGGAACTAAGACCCTGCCAAAAAAAAACAAAACAAAACAAACAAATACCAAAGTTGGAGCTAGAGATGCAGGTGGGATTACCCACTGCTGTGATGTTTGCTGTTGGTTCGAGCCACTCCAAGTTCGAGTCGCTGACTGGGATTACACTGAGTTCTTCCAGTCCTTTGGGCCCGCTGGTGTAAAGAACAAATCCAGTCGGTACTTTGGCTGCTCCAGCATATCTGCCTTCCTGAAGGGTTGTGTGGCCCTGGCCTGTGAGAAGGGCACCCAGAAGTCCCCGAGGAGGGCTCTTCATTGTGCTCAGATCCCTGATGCCCACCCCAGCCATCCCTTCATACTCTCTCAAACATGTCAGTGGTTGTGTTCAGGCCAAGTTTCTGAAGCTTCAGCCCCAGACACCAATGTCTCCCCCTGTAAGACACAAAAGAGGGTGTGGGGGAGCAGGTTCTTTCAGTCCAGGGCCCTGCTGTCCTCACACATCACAGGGCAGAAGAGCTGCAGTGAGTCACCGAGAGGCAACTACAATGATGGAGTCAAGGCCAGACTTTTGCTTGTGTTCAGGAGGAAGGGCTCACCTTGTCCTCCCTCTGGGTGTTGATCCCAGATGACCAGAGCTCTCCCAACGTGGTTGTGTGATAACAGGAGACGGTCTATAGTGCAGGGAAGCCAGGACTCAAGAGGCTGATGAGCAGCCCTAGGCCAGAGAGGCTGAATTCCTCTCTGACATGAAGAGAGAGAGGTCCCTCAGAACTCCAGGGAGATGGTCCACGTTAGTCCTAGTCACTGTCTTTCCTTCCTGACACCAAGAGTCAGATGGGTATCTTTATCTTGCAAAGAAGCTGATGTACCTGTCATTACTGCCCATGGTCTTCTGTCACTTCCACAACTCCCATATCTCATTGATATGGCCATATCCCATATAAAGCCCAAACCCTCTAATTTGCCTCCAGTTCTGTCTCTTTGGCCCCAGAAAAATCCTTCCCCTCTGTGATGCTCATCTGTAAGATGACCTGGATCAGTGGTTTTCAAGCCACATTCTTCAGAGCCACCAAGAGCTTTCAGGGTTTCCCAGGGTCCCCTGAGAGGCACAGTAGAAAAGGAGGCTGATCTGGCTCTGGACTTCCCCATCCCCAGCACCCACCAGTGTAGTTGCTTTTTCTCAGCTTTATATGCAGTGTTTCCACACAAGGATTCTTTGAACGAGGGGTTCTGAGGCTCCAAAGCTTGAGAACTGCTGAAACAAATGATAAGGTCACTTCCAGGCTGAGATACTGAAGCCCAGCTCGGGAATCCTTCCTGGTTACCAGTCTTGGGTGCTTGAGCTCCAGCAATTTTCATGGTGACAGGCATATGGCCCTCAGCACGTGCTGTATGGCGCCATTAGTGACCCACTGATGCCTGCATGTATGGTGGGGTGGGGAGGGCTGTTTCCCCAGCTAGATGATAAGTTCCTTGAGGGCAGATGTCTGATTTTCCCTCCATGCCTCTGTCCTCTTATACTGCCATAGGTGGAGTGGTGCTCAGTAAATTTGTTGATGCTCCAGGTATCATGAGCTCTCATGTGAGATAAAACCTTCCAGAGAGACCCTTTGCTTTGGGGAAGGGGAGTCAGCCTTTTGCCTGCTGAGTGCCCCTAGAGAGACTTGTCCTTTGGGAACCAGAACCCTGACCTGCGAAACAGCTTCAGACTGCCATACCCTCAAAGAGGGCAGGCCTGAGTTCCTGCCTTAACTGGACTCTGCTCAGCCTCGACGGCCTTCAGTGCCTCTCCTGGCAGGGGCTCTCTGCACACTGAGGCCACGGACAAGGCCTTCTCCTGACCCTGAACTTGGGAATCAGATCAGCTTAGGTGCCTCATGGATGGTAGGCATCTCAGCTGGAGCTGGAAGGAAGTCCAGTGGCTGTGGGGAGGAACTCCAGGCTTGCTCAGAGTGTAGCTTCTTCTGGAGACAGAAGCCTAAAGTGGTACTCAGAGGCACCTGTGAAGACAGGTTGTTTAAAGGTGCCCAGAGCAAAGATCAAGATAGCTGTAGGTCAACGTCCCTGGGGCAGGTAAACAGGAGGAGAGTGGGAGCTTTGGTGGAGTCAGTTAGGAAAACTGTTCTGCCACCCACTCACTATGGGACTTTGTGAAAACAGTAACCTTAGTTTCAATGTCTTTATCTGTAACCTGGGAGCAAAAGGACCTAACCAACTACAGGCTACCTCCCACAGAAGTGATGAGATTCCCAGGACACAATGGGTATGGAAGTGTTCTGCAAACCAAATAGGCAGGATATAAACGATTCTTACTAGTGTTAACAGGGGAGAGGACGCTTCCATGCCAGAGCAGCTTCCCATGAGGGACCATTAGCAATTCAGGGATGCTCTGGGACTCACCATCTCTCCACCACCTACTTTTCTCCCAGAAGCCATCTCTGCTTGACTGGGACAAATTTCTTAACAGATTGGGTAATGTGAGGGGGGCAGGCCATTCAGGACAGAGACCCCAGGCCAATTATGACTCCAGGAGGCTCCCCCAAAGAAAAGGAAGTGTCCTGATAAAAAAGCCTCTGGAAGGTGAGAGGCCCAGGAGGCTGCAGAGGTTTCCCAGGGCTCTTGGTTGATGAAGGGGCCCATAGGATCCCAAGGACTGGGTCCCTTAGTCCCACTGAACTTCATGCCCCTTGGCATGGGGGCCAAGTCAGCCTCCCCTGGTATATGGAGCTGCACACATAACCTTCACCCTTCCAGAGGGTGGGTCCTGGCTGGCACTGTGGGAGCAGATGAGCCCTTCGCAGGTCAAAAGGAGAGCTTGGCATTTCACTCCAAAGACCACCCCTCATTCCAAATCCTCCAGGTGTGAGGAGTAAGCAGCAGCCCAGACCAGGGCCAGAACATCTGGCAGGGTTTAAAATCCACAGCTGGAGGGCGAGACCTCCCCACGCTGATGTGGGGAAACACTATCAGGCCCTAGCCTGGTGCTGCTCCGGCCATTACATCCCCAACAGGCTCTGTGCCCCGGGTGGGCCTCCCTGGGCCTCCCTCAGCTACTGTAGCCTGAAGTGTGGGTGCTGGGCCTGCGGACCCAAACATCTGGCAGATCTGGCTGGCTGTTAGGCAGCACCACAGGGCTGCCATCCCCCGGCCCACCACGGCCCTTCCAGGACGAGCTGCTCTGGTGTGAGGCAGGCAGAGATGGGTCGTAAACAGTCTCCTTGAGCGCCAGCCACAGCGTGTCCCGCTTCTCATTGAGCTGGCCCCGTTCAGGTACTGTCTGCTCTGTCTCATCCAGGTCCTCTGGGGAGGCACCTACGGAATCTGGAACGCGGGCACTGGGCTCGGAGGTGCTTAAGCAGGTCTCATCAGAGACGCTGAGCCCCTCCAGGGTGCTGGCTGAGGAGCAGAGGCAATCAGGGGGCTCCACGACCTGGGGCTTGGGCCTGGGAGGGTGGGCTGGGCCTTCTAATGAGGCCTGCACCAGCTCAGCCTTCTTCCCTGGGGAGCCCTGCCTGGCCTGGGTTTTGGGGCTGGGTCCAGCTTGCTTGTAGGGAGAGGAAGTCTGCAGGGCCGGGCACTGGCTGAAAACTGCCTGGTGGTCCAGGAACAGCTCCCTTGGGGATGCAGGGCCTGGCGGGGGCCGGGAGCAGTAGGGGCCATCGTGTAGCTGTAGGTCTTCAGAGAGCACGGAGGGCCGGTGAGACAGCTTGCTGGTGGCTGTACTGGTGTCAAAGCTGGGACTCCGGCGTCGTGCCAGGGGCTGTAGCTCGTACTGCTCTGAGCAGGACCCGGGCACCCCTCCCACCGGCCCTGGTCGTGGGCGACCTGCCTTCTCCCCACCAGGCTCCCCAGTGCCAGCATCCCACGGCAGGTGTGCACAAGGCCAGAGGATCTGCCCACAGTTCTTCTCTGGTCCAAAGAAGCAGCAGAGAGATTGGAAGAAGAAGCTGGCGAAGCCGCAGCTGACGCACTTCACCATCATGAGGACGATGCCCAGCTTGCGATAGAGCAGCACCGTGGCCGGGAGCATGAGGACGCCGGCTGCAAACAGGGCCGCAGCCCCCACCGCCGTGGCGCAGCTGCTCTGGCGCAGCGAGAAGGCCACACGACTCAGGCGGTCAGGGTGCGGGCACAGGTGATAGGAGATGCAGTAGTTGACAGTGAAGTCCACGGACAGGCCCACTGAGGCAGAGAGAAAGAGGGCCTCGGCAGTGTTGAGCTGCCACTCGAGCAGAACCAGGAGCCCCACGGTGAGCAGCACAGTGCCTGCCACCGCTGCCACTGAGAACAGGCTAAGGGGAACATTCCAGGTGCCCAGCAGCAGTGTGGCAAAGGCCAGCGCCAGCGCCAGGCCCAGCACCACTGCAGGCTCAGTGCTCAGGCTATGCTGCAGGCTGTACAGCTCCAGACGGCTGGTGAACCAACCCCGGCGCAGGCCAGGGGGTGCCCTGCCCAGCTCTGTGGCCAGCCAGTGGTTGACCTCAGTGTAGAAATGGTGAGCCTGGCTGTAGTCTGGACTGTAGGGGAAGTTGGTCTGGAACTGCAGGACCAGGGCAGCCAAGCCGCCCTGGGTATTGAAGCGGGCTCCCAGGTCCCGGGGGCTCTCCGGCCCTTGCTCCAGAGCCATCATCTTGAGGCAGTGCAGGAAAAGCTGCGGGGCCCAAGGGAAGCCCGAGTGGCCACAGCAGAGGCCCGGCCCCAGGCGGGCACAGCCGGGGCTCTCCATCCAGCGCTGGAGAGCCTCCACGAAGCACAATGTAGGCCAGCCCTCCGGCTGGGCCCCGAAGAAGCTTTGATTCCGAGCTCCGCGGCAGAGGGCCAGCAGCCAGCGCTGGGCCTCAGGACCGCTGGCTGAGAAGGCAGGGTCGCTCACCAGCGAGCTGTTGCTGCGAGGGTCCAGGGGGTCGCCCGTGTCCACGGGCAGGATGCCCCACACCAAGACCACGGGCATGTGGCCGCCCTCGCCCTGAGGCAGCCGCTCAAACAGAAACTGCTGACGGTACTCGGCGTCGAAGCGCTCGAAGGGGTGGCTGGGCCTGAAGACCTGGCCGCGGGGCGGCGGTAGCGTGGGCAGCCGCAGGCGGGGGCTGACGCCCGCGATGTAGGCGCCCCCAGCCGCTAGCGCGGCGAACCAGCAGATCCAAATGTAACGGAACTTGATGACGCCGCAGGGCAGGAGACGCTGGAAGAGCAGGCGCGAGGTGCTGGCGGCCGCCCTCCGGAGGCCGCGGAGCCGTCGGTGGAGGGCCAGTGCCAGTCGCCGGGGCGCGCTGCCGGCCCACGGGCCACGCGCCTGGGAGGCACAGCCGCGCGCCAGGTAGCGCTCGTGGAGCACCGCGGCGGAAGGCAGCCAGGCCAGCGTGAGCGCCAGGTGCGCCAGCACAGCCGTTCCCATATAGAGCGCGAAACAGCGCACGGCCGGGAGGCGGCTCAGGTAGCTGGCGTAGAAGGCCGCGCCCGTGGTGAGGCCCGAGACCAGCAGCAGGTAGCCGAAGTGGTGCATGGTGCGGCCCACGCGCTGCGCCAGCCCCCCGGACGGCAGCTGGCTCTTGCTGAGGCGCCAGAGGTCAAAGAAGATGAGGGTGTGGTTCGCGCAGACGCTGCTCAGCAGGACGAGGGCTGCCAGATTGACGAAGGGGAAGTAGGCCATGCGGAAGGCCACTCGATAGAGAAAAAAGGCAACCAGCAGGGAGCCCAGCACCCCCAGCAGCACCATGAGCGTGAGGAAGAGCGAGCGCAGGTAGAGGGCGATGCTGAGGAAAATGGCGGCCAGGGCCAGCAAGGGGTACACCGTGTCCTGGGCCAGGTAGTGTCTCAGCAGTTCCTGCTTGAGGCCCAGATCCATGCCGGTGACGGATGTGTAGTTGTCGGAGAGCCCCCAGGGCATAGCGAGGCGGTCCAGGTAGATGCCCATCATGGAGGCACCCTTCAGGGTGGGCAGGAAGAGCAGGCTGTACTTGAGGGAGGGCACCTGGTAGTCAGCAGTCTGGGGACTCAGAAAGTCCTTGTCCAGCAGGAAGTGCAGGAGTTGGTAGACAGCACTGCTCTGGGAGCACTTGGTGGGAACCTGGGTACAGCGTGGGGGCTTGTCCTTTCCGGGTCCCAGACAGGAGGGCACCAGGGCACCACGGTGATAGTAGAGGGCACAGGCCCGCAGCAGGGCCAGCGTGCGGGTTGTGTCGGCTTGAGTAATGTCTAGGCAGGAGGAGCGATTGGAGAGCACAGCCACGTAGTTGCCCAGGGACCAACTTGGGCAGCACTCGTTGGCTGCCGTACGCTGGCACAGAGCCCCAAAGCTGGGATGGGAGCGGATCTGTAGGGCACACACAGCAGGAAAGAGCTCAGGGGAACTGCTGGGGCCCAGGTTTCCAAGCACTGTCCCAGGCTCTCTCACTTCCTTTGAGGCAGCAGGGCAGAGGCAGAGAGGTATCTTGACCTGACTGGTCAGGCCCCTGTTCCAGCAGCTACATCTTGACTGCTTCAAGGAGGAGCCTCAGGACCTTTTGAAAATCCCAAGCTCTGAGGGTCTGTCTTCCAGCAGCTATGTCTTGGCACTTCTGGAAGCAGCTGACTCTTCACTTTCCTCTTCCCCCACAACCTGGAGCCTCTTAGCAGGGTTGCAATAATTTTCTAAGCAGGGAATGCTCTTTCCTAGCCCAGCCTGGCAACCTTTGTTCAACTGTATTTCCTTATGATCAGGTCCCTGGTGTCCCTGGCTCTCCCCACCCCCACCAAGCCCCGGCACCTCCTCAGCCGGCTCACCTGGTCATGTTCCATGCGACATATAGAATGAATGGCGTGCAGGTTCCAGAGGCTGCCCGCTGAGGTGGACATGAACACCAGCTGTGCATAGCTCTTCTCTGCAACACACAGCCCAGAGCTCAGTGCTTTGGCCTCAGATTCTGGGCCCACCAAAGGGAAGATGCTTACTCCAGGCCATATGAGGCTCAGATTCTCAGGATCCTCAAACCTGTGCCTGGCTGCCTGATGCTGGGCCTGCATCCCTCCCCTGTGCCACACCCCCGTCCAGCTTGACCCTTCCTGGCTGGAGCAACTGAGACCTGCCTCATCCTCCCAGCTGTAACCCTACTTCCTTGCCTTGAATGTGACTGGCCAGTCTCCTTCCCCTTCTGTCTGCCCAGATTTGTTCTCCTGGGCCCTTCAGTTCTAGTAGGTGGGGAGAGGGAGAACCACCATTAAAGCCAGGAACTGGCCAGGCTGCAGCTTACCAGGGGGGCCACAGAAGAAGCTCTCCTGCCCTCTGTCCTCCAAGGACTCCACCATCCTCCGAGGCCGGACCAACCCCTCTTGGGCACTGCTCCAGGGTGTGGCGGGGCTCAGAGTGGTGTGGGGGGTTGAGCTAAGGTAGAGAAAAAATCTGTATCAGGCACTGTCCAGAGGTGAGGGGCTCAGAAAAGGCCAGATACCATTACCCAGGGGGTTCCAGCAAGGCCCTCTGACCTGCCTTTTTTTTTTTTTTTAGTTTTTTTTTGACTACGCTACATGGCATGTGGAATCTTAGTTCCCCGACCAGGGATCAAACCTGTGTCCCCTGCAGTGGAAATGCAGAGTCCCAACTGCTGGATAGCCAGGGAAGTCCCCTGACCTGTCTTTGGCTCCTCTCTGGAGACCTCGTTCTATCTCCGGTTGCCCCCAAAAATGGAAAGATAGGAATCCATTACCTGTTCAGCTCAAGGTCTGGGGAAAGGGAAAGCAGCTTCTTGGGGCCTGTGAGGGCCTGCAGTGCTCTCCAGACCACTAGCTTGCGCCCAATGTCCGTGTCCCGAGGCTCAAAGCCCTGTGGGGAGGAGGGCAGAGAAGATCAGACCAGAAAGAGGGGGAGTTCTTCCTTCTCAGTTCTACTCCTTTGGGTCCCTGGAGCAGGGAGGCCTGGCTTGCCTGCCTGTATGGTTGGACATGAGGATCACCTCTGTACCCTTTCTGAGCTCTCACTGGAGAGTCCACTCCCATCAGGGCCACTCCAAAGTTCTGCCCCAGATCGATCTGAGGTGGCCAGGCATGGGGGCCCCGTCCCTCCCTGTGGCCCCTCACCAGTAAGGGCTTGGAGAAATCAGGTAGCTGGCCCCCCAGCAGTCCAGCCAGGGTGCAGAGGAGGATGAAAGCCAGACACAGCAGCAGCACGGCCACTGGGCACTCCGCAATCAGCTGGGAATAGCTGGGAAAGAGGAAGAGATCCCACATGAGTTGGTGTTGGGCATGGTAGCAGGGAATGGGTACGCTTAGAAGCCACCAAGAAGGGATGGTGGAGCTAAACTGGGCCTGGTCACCCCATGGGTCCAGAGAAGGCCCAGGCCTACCTCTTTGGCATCCGGAAGGCCCGTTCCTGCCTATGGGAGAGAAGAAAAGACACTTGCTTGCTGGAGTCCTCTTGTAAGGTGGGAGGTTGGAGTAGGGGTGGAGGTTAGAGGAAGTTGGCATCGACCCTTGCAGGCCTCCCCACTCCCGAGGTCCAACCCTTCCTTCCTCTTCCTTCCAGGCTGCCTCCTCCATCAGAGGCAGGAGACACTTGGGCTGCCTCCTAGTGAAGGAGTCTAGACCCCGGGGAATTGGCCCCACTTTGAAGCCCTGCCCTACCTTCCAGGGCAGCTGGCCAACTGCTGGACTCCTCCTTACCTGACGCTGACCACGTGGTGCTGCACAGATGCTGGCTTCCAGGCCCCATCACGCTGTGAGGGGGCTGGGGAAGGGCTGAGGCTGGAGCCATGGGAGCACAGCCCTGCCCGGTCCCCAAGCCCTGGCAGGGAGCTTCCCCCCCGGTACTCCTGCGGTGCTCGGGGATAGGTAAAGTGAGCAGGGCCCAAGGGGCTGGATGGGCCCACAGGCTGGAGGGTGGAAGTTGCTGGTGGTGGTCCAGAAGAACTGGAAGGGTCCTCAAGGGGGCAGCTGTGGAGGGAGCAGCTTCTCTCTGGACTGGCCTCCGGGGCCACAGCCTTGCTCTGGGACCTGGTGGAGGAGGAGGCAGGGAAAATGGGAGTGGGACAGTGGTGGTCCATACCATGCCCCAGCAGTGTTCAGTGAGCTGAGATGGATGGGGCTTGGGTTTTTCTGTTACTGGTTCTGGCAGGAGGCGACGAGGATGGGGACTCTGGGTCTACACCTCCAGCCTGCTTCTTGGGGTTCATTGTCTCATTCTCTTGTTGGTCCCTGCACCCCAAACACATATGATCTTATTTGCGCCTTTAAAAACCATACAAAGGAAGTACTTTCCTTTTACAGATTTGAGAACTGAAGTTCAGTGAGCCCTGAAGAGCTGGGCCTTGAGCCCAGCTCTGTCTGCTGCAATCGTCTCTTCATTCTCTTGTCAGACGCTGATTAAGCACCTGCTGCACTTTTGTTCCCACCTTAAAAGCCAGGGAAAGTTTGGCATAAGCAATTACTGCCTTTTTACCAACCCTGGGACTTGGGGAAGAGGTTTGCTGTGCAAAGGTGTGCACAGTTGGGAGAGGGAGTTAGGACCCCCAAGGAACTTGTCAGGGAGTAGTCAGCAATAGATTTGTCTTTCCAAATTACTCATGGGGGCAGTATTCTGTGCATTGACCCAGCCCCACTCCTTGGTGCAGGGGGAGTTGGAGTCCTACCCCAGTGGCAGGATTGCTAGACCTAGGACAGAAGATGGTCACAGAACCAAGTGCCTGAGAATCATGGATGATTCCCAGAGGGTTCTGGGCCCACCAGTGAGTCTCCTTCCTTCATCCTTCTGGCTCACCTGGCCTGCTAGAATTTGCATAGCTCCCATGGGACAGTCAGATGTCTGCTGAGCCAACCCTGGCTTCCAGTCTTGCCTGCTGCACTGCTGAAGGGGCCATGGGCCAGAATCCTGGCTGTGATGGCAAGTGGACATTGCCCACAGAGGCTGGGTTCTGCCCAGAAACCAAGTAGAAGAACTGAAAAAAAGCAAGCTCCTTCTCTTCCTGCCAGAAAGCTGAGTGTCAGACAGTCGAGGGGCAGGGGATAACCCTCATGCTGAGCCTAAAATGGGGGAGAAGTGGAGGTGGGATCCTGGCCCCATCATCCTTTAGCTCTGGGGTCTTGGGAAAGATACACAGTTCTTGGCATCCTTGTCTGCTGAGTGCGGTTATGAGGATAAGGTCCCCTCTCAAGTTAGTATGGGAATTAACTGAGGTAAGATCTGTGAGGTGCCTGGCATGGAGCCTGGTATGTGGAAGACATTTGCTTTCCTGCCTCTTCATATTCAGTGCTGCAGGAAGTGTGTAGATTAAGAAGTATATTTATATTTACAATTTGAACTCTTTAGGCACTTCAGATAATATGTCTCCATTTGAGAACTTCTCACACCTTAAGAATCTCTCTACATACATAATTATAATTACTTTTCCTTTTTTTAATATTTATTTGTTTCTGGTTGTGCTGGGTCTTAGCTGCAGCATGTGGGATCTAGTTCCCTGACCAGGGATAGAATCCAGTCCCCCTATGTCAGGGGCATGGAGCCTTAGCCACTGGGCCACTAGGGAACTCCCAGTACTTTTCTTTTTGTTATCAAAAGCTGCATTAGAATTTGTCTCATGATTTAAACCACTACTTTTTCTTCTTCTTCTTCTTCTTTTTACTAACTGTGCATTTAGAAAAATAGGAATTTGACTGAAGTTGTTCTCAAGCAAGACCTCAGATGACCCCATAAAGTTAATGACATAGCAACCAGTGTCCTGGCAGATAAATCCCTCATATCTCCATCCCTATGGGCCAAAGGGAAGCTGGAAAAATGACCTGGGTTTCATATGTATAAGTGGGGATATCTATTTCTTTAAGATATTTACTCTTTTCTGAGCACTTGCCACATGCTGCGCCCTGTGCTTGGTCTGGGTTGGACCTTGAAGGCATGAAGGTGACCCATTTTATTTTGTATACATTTTTGGTTGCACCCTGTGGGGTGTGGAACCTTAATTCCCAGATCAGGGATTGAACCCATGCCCCCTGCCTTGAAAGGTGGAGTCCTAACCACTGGATCACCAGGGAAGCACAAAGTGACCCATTTTAGTCTTGGTCTCCCTCTTTAGACTAGGGCCTGCTTTCCAGAGTCAGGAGGGTGGGGCAGCCAGGGTGCCTATTTCAGCTGCCCATGATCTTAAAGCATCACTGAGCTTTGGGCTTGTCTTAGGAGTCAAGTCCCCACTTGGAGTGTCAGTTTCTTTTTCATGAAGGGAAGCCAGAACTCCAGGGGGTTGTGGCTGAGAACTGAACTCAGTCCTCCTTAACCAGCCTACCAAATCTCATCAGCAACCCCCTTGCTTAGCAGGCTCCTGTTCAAGGGGGATTTCAGTCTCCACCATTGGTTTGCTTCTACTGGGATCTCCCTAGCCCAGCCCCTTCCTGTCAATCCCTTTTATCCCTCTCCAGGAACTTAGGATCAGCTATCTGCCTTGCTTCTCCTGGGGGCTTTCTTTCTCACCCTCTCAGTTCCATGGCTCTGACTGGGATGAGCAGTTTCCTGGGCTGCTTGCCTGGGCACATTGGCCTGTAGGCCAAGTGACTGGGGCAGGTAGGAAGGTTAATGAAAAGTGAAGACACAGGTCTGACTCATGGCCATAGGAGTCAGGGCCTGGCTAATAGTGCCCCAGACCCTCACTTGGGAGCCCCGTAAGGGGCAAATATACAGGAGTATTAACCATGCTCCAAGCCCACAGACATATAGCTATATGAACATCCATGTGATCAGGCAGAATGATCAGGACAGATGAGGGAGCAGTTCATGCCACCAGGAAAATAAAAAGTAATTTTAAAGATGCAAAGAATGAACTGTTTCAAATTGCCCTGTTGTCTGTACATTAGTAAATTGTGAGTGTGTGTGTGTGTGTGTATACACGCGTGCATGCGCATGTGTGCGTGCATGTGCTGTCTTATTCACTCTCTAGAGTGCTGCTTAGTTCAGCAGGAATAATTTTTGTTCCTTGGACTGAAATGAGTCCCTTTGCCTGATTTGTCCAGGGTCTTTGGGGAGGTGCAGAGAGGGGCCAGAGGTCTCAGGGAGTTACTAGAAGACAGCAAATAGTTCCTGTGTCCAAGTATGAGCCCTACGTGCAGGGGAAGTGAGTAGACCAAGATAGGGCTGAGCCTGGGCAAAATATCTGAGGCAGCAAAAGACTCTCCAGCCCCTTCTAAGGATGCTCCTGGCCCCTGCCCTGTCACTGTCTCTGCCTTGGCCATCCTTGGCTCTTTGGTTGGGCCATAGTGCCAGGCAGTCCCCTGGTCCAAGGAGCACATTGATCCTGTCTCTCATCCCATTGAAGAAAGTTCTGTGCCTTTCAGTCTGAAAGGTGGCTAAATCTATCCAGGCTGGATTGACAGTAGAGGGAAGGAAACATTTCTCTCTGCTTGTGGGGTCTCTTCTTCACTCTGAGGTACAGAATATACATTTAACTGGGGCAGTCTGGAGATAATGTGTCCACCTCTGCTTTTGCCCCCAAAGAATGCTTCGTATTTCAGTCCAGGCAGGAGAGAGAGGCAGCGTCATGTCAGGTGAGGGATCCTAGGGGCGGCAGAACAAGCAGGGCACAGAAATTGCGCCATATTGTTACCTGGCTGGGCTGTTCCCTCACACATATGGTGGAGGAAGGGAGAGGAGAGGCACCAAGATCTGGGCCCTCAGCGGGTAGGTGTTCCTTCTGTCCTGCCAGCCTGGTGCTCCTTCAGGGAAGGTACTGACCGCGACCTGAGTCTCAGAGCCTGCCAACCCATCACATCCAAAGAGTGCAGGTGGCTGCCACATGTGGGGACTCCAGCCCACACGTGCGCAGCTGGCATGCAGGGCGGCAGACTGGAGACTGATGGTGATGGACAAAGACAGACCCTAGTTTGGTGGCCGAGTGTCTGCCCTCTCCCTAGGATATACACCTTGGTGAGCCCATCTATAATACACACGCATCCTCGAGCACATTGACATGCTGGAACCCGGAGTGAGGTTGCTGCAGGTTTGGGGCTTACAGAGAAGACGTGGGGGCAGGGGGAACTCGGGGTCTTAGAGGTAAGGTAGAAACAGTGGGTGGGGCAGGTCCCGGGGGCAGCGAGGGCGAAGGGGGTTGATATTAGGGGGTATCAGGGAGAGTGAAAATCGACCCGGCAGAGAGAGGGCGTGGCCAGGGGGCCAGGAGTCTGGAGGCGCCAGAACGGGCTCTGGGAGGGTCTGGGGAATGAATGGGGCGACATATGGCGGCTACTGGGAATATCTGGGGCGCGGGTTCTGGGAAGGACTGAGAGCTGGGTCTGCGGAACAGTCCGCCCCTACCTGTCCGGGGAGCTGCCTTCTGGGGCCAAAAGCTCTCCCTCGGGCCGCTGCTCCCCTTCCGGACCCGGGCCGGGAACCGGATCGCTGCTGCTGCTGCAGCCACCACCGTCCATGCCCGTGGGCGGCGCCGCTGTCCGGGCGCTGGTGCTGAAGCGGCGGCGGCGCGGCGCGGCGGCGGCGGCGGCGGCGGCGGGTTCCTACGCATGCGTCGACGCCAAGCGGGCCGGTCGCTGGGCGGGGCCGAGGAAGAGCTTGGCCAATGGACGCGTCACTGGGGGGCGGGGACAGAGGCTTCCCGCCGCGGTGCTGTAGGAGCTGGGGGCTCCCTGTCTTTCTTTAAAAGACTCCCAGAGCTGGTGCTGTGGGCCCCTCTACCCAGGACATGTCTGACAGCTGCTGTTAGGAGTCTGCCCATCTGGCTGTAGCTCGCACACCGGCGTTTCTGGGGGGGGGGGGGGGGGGGGGCGGGGATCGGTCTTACGTGAGGGAACAGGAAACGCGACCCCAGGCTCCCTGTCGAGATCCTCATAACTTGTAACGCTGATTCTTCAAGCCCAGAAGAGCAGGCAGCTCCATGCCGGCACTTTACTGCTCAGGATGATGAGGGGTTGAAAATTTGGGCTACTTTTACTCCCACATTTCTCTGAGCTTCCCTCAGCAGACCCTTACCACTTCCTTTCCAGTGAGGCTAGGCACCTGTTCAAGTTGGGTCTTTCTCCAAGTTGGTCTGGACCTGGGTCTGTGCCCCTCAAATGTGGAGCCTCGATTCTGTTTTTCAAGTGCGAGTATGACCCGGAAGAGAGAGAAGCGACTCAGAGAATCCCCAGCTCCTTTTCTTATAACTACCCCACTTCAACCTGGAAATGTACTCATTAGCCACTCATTTCCGAGTTCTCGCTGCCTCCCCTATCAGGGAATGGAAGTGAGAGAGGGGCAGTGTGTTGGGAGGTGGAGAGGCATGGTTGGAGAGCTGTGGTAGCACTAGAATAGGTAGGGTCCGTGTGAGAAGCCTAGGAGTTGGGAAGTAGAGAGGCCCCCAAATGTGGAATTTGAATGGGTAGAATGGGTTTTACAGCAAGCAGGATGTCTATATGTTTGGGAGATGCCTTGTCTGAAGAATAGGGCTGGGAAGAGTCAGAACCCAGTAGTGTCTGGACTCTGGGTATCCCTAAACTGTGTGCAAACACCACTCTTTGCAAAGTATAGACCAGTAGGGGATGAGGGTGGGGGAGTCTAGAGGTGTAGAAGTGGTGGCCTTTCCCTGAGTAGCCTAATTTGGTTGGAGAGATAGAAGCTGTCCCATCAGTTGATGCCAGCTGGGTAGGGTGTGGTTGGGCCCATGCAATGGTCAATATAAGCTGCAGAGAAAGGAGCAATGTGCAAAGACAGAGAGGACCTCATCCTAAAGGGCTTTAGGGAAGGCTTCATGTTGATGGTAGAGCTTTAGTTGGCTTGGAAGGAAGGCATTCCTGACCGGAGCTGAGGTGGAGCTGGTGGTGATGGGGAAAACTGTGCAAAGTTAAGGAGTCTGTAAAGTTCTATATATTTTCAGGGGATAGTCAGTTCAGGATCCGCTGAAGGCTTCTGTGGATCCTTCTAGAAGGAGGCATGCACAACCCACCATGTCTGAGTGTATATGATGTGGTAGAGGTGATGAGACCATCCTTGAGACCCTTTAATGGGGGATGGGGCAGAAGTGAAAACAAAGAAGGGGTGACCTTATTCAGTCATGTGCTGTGGACACCACTGAACCAAACTACTGAGTATGCCTGACTGGGTACCAATTTCATAACTAGGAAATTCAGAGACCACTGGGCCCCCTGAGTGTCAGGTTGGATGTGAAGGAAGACAGGCTCTTTTAGGAGTAGAATGTGGCCTCTAGGAGGCTGTTTATTAGGAACAGAAGATTCTGGTTCAGGCTCCATGATAGATCAGGCTCCACATTCTTGGATCCTTTTCTTCTGCTTCCTCAGTGATGTGGACCATGGGGGTGCCCAGGGGGCCCTGGTGGGTGGCCCCTTCCAGGACAGTGCCCTGATCCAGGGTGGGGACATGGAGGGTGGTTTCCAGGGCCAGGGGGGTGCCCAGGGCCATGGCTGTGCCCAGGGCCAGGAGGGTGCCCACCTCCATGGCTGTGCCCAGGGCCAGGGGGATGGTGATGCCCAGGGCCAGGAGGGTGCCCACCTCCATGGCTGTGCCCATGGCCATGTCCCTGTGGAAAATCAGATGAACAATATTAGAGTCAGAGGTCAGTGACAGTCTTACCTGAGATCAACTCCTCCTCTCCCTTCCCCTTGTTTCTCTGCTGCTCCTCCTCTAGAGGACTCAGGATTTCTAGGCACTAGTAGGGGCTCATGGTAGAGGTCTGGGAGACAGAGATAGCAAGTGACTGCTCCTAGTTTTAGGCCTTTTGCCTTGATGAAACCAGAGCACAGAGCAGACACAATGGGAGGAAACTAGATTCATTGGGTTCTATTCCTTGAGCTGAGATATGACTCCCACCCTCTGGACCTCGGTTTTTTTTATCTGTGACTAAGAAGCTGAAGTATCTCATCTTCTCCCTTCCTTCACCCAAGAACCCGTGAAGAGTGATTAGAGGTTTTGCCATGTTGACTACTTAGAAATGAAGGTAGGGCTGGGGGAAGCTACAGAGGAACTCAGTGAGGGCCAGGGGCACGGAAGAGACAGGAGGCACAGTGAGGAGAGATGAAGGAGCCAAGGGGAAGGAGGAGTCAGCTGAAGGGTGGGAGGAGACAAAGGTAAGGATGTGCTAGTTCTCTATGTAGGTAGTACATGTGTGCAGGTAAAGATATGTACTGCCTCTACATAAAAAGAGTTATGTCTGTATACATGAGCCTATAAAGGCCTTCTGTGTACACAGGTACATGCCTATGGGTGCATGTGCCTGGCTACGTGTATACATGTCAATAGGAGTATATGTGAGCCCATGCCTGTCCCTGAGCAGGTGCCAGACTCATGAAATCAGGAAGAATAGAGGGTAAAATCAAGGTTTTATTGCTTGAGACAGATGAGTCCTGGAATGGGTGGTTTAACCTTCTGTCTTGGCTGGAACCACTCCTGAGGCCCCGAGGCCAGAAGAGTTTCTTTGCCTGTTGGCACAGGCCCAGGGAAGAGAGGAGACACAATTTTGCTTCTGGTGCTGGGCACTGGGGGCCTGGGACCCCCAAGGGAGCAGGCAGTGGAGGGTTATAGCCCCACTCTGTGTGTGTACATAAGTTGCTTCAGTTGTATCTGACTTTGCGACCTGACTCTTCTCTTGCCTAGAATACTGGAGTGGGTTGCCCTGCCCTCCTCCAGGGAATCTTCCTGACCCAGGTATCAAACCATGTCTCTAAGTCTCCTGCATGGGCAGGCAGATTCTTTACCACTAGCGCCACCTGGGAAGTCCCTAGGGGTTGGATAACTCCCCAGTTTCTGCTTCTGCTTCGTAGGACCTGATAATGGCCTATAACCTGCGGGAAAGTGGCAGGCTCCAGGGTTAGGAATCTTTCCTGTGACAATATTAAGGCAGCCACTGCCCCATCCAGGCTCAGTGACTCCTGGAAATTGCCACTTCCCATCCTGCTTGCCTCTTCTATGACTCTTTTGTGGTGGGGGCATTCCAGGCCTAGGAGTTGGGTCTGCTAGTGGTGGGGGCTGGGGGAGGGGAAGCAGGGAGGAGGGCAGGCAGAGGCAGGTCATGGGAGGCCTGCAGTGTGGTTGGGATTTGGGAGCAAGCCAGCCATCTGAGAGGGCTGTGGGTAGCCAGGAAAGCAGAGAAGCATGGAACAGGAGGGGAAGCAGCAGGAGAGAGGATGAGCTGCTGAGGCAGGGAGGGGATGTGAGAAAAGGAGAGGGACAGATGGGAAAACTGGGGAGGAGGGGAGGAGAAGGCTGCCGCCAGCAGGGGATGGACTTGCACTGTGATGCCCCCCGCCCTGGGGCTGAGGCCTCCCTACCCTACATTTGGGGGATGTCCGGGCTACATTTGGGGGATGTCCAGGCTACAGTCAGATGGTCTAGGAAGGGGACTGACAGCAGGGAGGGAAAAGGGAAAAGGGAGATGACTGGGGAAATTTCCTACCTGTGGGCCTGTGGGAGACGAAGGAGAAAAAAACAAACAAAGAGCTTTGGTTATTTGGTTCTGCAGTGAGAATCCTGTCTTCTTCCTGGTGCTGATTTTGTGCCCACCTTCCACTGTCCTCCCCCAACAAGGATCCTCAGACTTGACCAGTTGCCTGACCATCATTCCTTCGTTCATTCATTCACTCGACACACACACACACGTGTGTGTGTGTGAATGCAAAGCTCAGTTGTGTGTCCCTGTTTGCTCAAGAGTTGGCTGAGTTCTCCTGGGTAGGGTGGGGCTGGTTAGGAGGTGTGGGTTCTTGTTCTCACTCTGTCAGCTGACTGCCTCCTTGACCCTTTTTTTTTTTTTTTAATTTATTTGACTGCACTAGGTCATAGTTGCAGTGTGTGGACTCTGAGTTGTGGCATGTGGGATCTAGTTCTCTAAGCAGGGATCAAACCTTGACTTCCTGCACTGGGGGCACAGTCTTAGCTACCTGGCCCACCAGGGAAGTCTCTCAACCTTTTTTAAAACAAAATAATTTAATTTTATTATTGGAGTATAATTGTTTTACAATGTTGTGTTAATTTCTGCAACACAGAAACTGTACAAAGTGTACCCTCCCAACCTATGTCTAACTCCATGACACTAAAGGAGGCGCCCTGATTCTTTTATTTCCGCCTTCAGGTGGGCCCCACATAGCCTCCTCCTCTGCCCCCTCTCCCCAGATTCCACATTTCTCAGCCTGATCTCTGCTCAGCTCCTCAGCTGTTTCTTTGCTCCTGCTTATGACCTTCTGGTTCCAGCTCTCAGACTTTGCTCTTGTCTCCTGCCACTTGGAAATCTTTGGCAGGAAATCTCCTGCCACTTGCTTCACTCTGTGTTACATTCCTGCAGGAAGTTCGCTTGGGTTGGACCGTCCTGCCTGCCTTGCCTGCCCAGCTTCAGGTCCAGTGGGCTCATTCTTGCCATGACCTATCTGACTGGTCCTGAGTATTTTGAAGTGCTCTGTTGGTGGGAATCACCTACTTGATGAGATTTATATTGAGGGCCATCATGGTCTTTTGTTCCTTTTGAGGGGAGCCAATGGCATAGCTGCCGAGAGCTGAGTTCTGAACTCCAGATCCTGCCACACTTCCAGGGCCTCACCCTGAGAAAGACCAATAACTTCCTTGGAGCTCGTGTGTACAATGGAGGGAGCCCCTGCCTATTTCATTCCTGAAGCTGAAGACCTAGTAACATAAAGGATGTATGGGCATGTTTCTTAAACTGTAGAGTATATTAAAAACATAGGGTTTGTTTTCATTTTGGAACCACCACACACACACACACACACACACACACACACACACACACAGAGCTCTCAGTAGATGTGACTGACTGATTGCCCCTGACTTCATGACCCTCCCTTCCTCCTTATTCCTTCTTCCACGCTATGGCTTCCCACCACAGTACTTACGTGGCTCCATCTTTTTGAAGCAGGCACAGGGAATGACAAAAAGAACACCTATGAATCAATGGGTAAAGTTTAGTTTACTGTAATCTAAACCTCAATCTCTCCTTCTTCCTCCCAGGGATGTACACACATAGTCCCTTAAGATATGAAAGGGATAAACTGCTCCCTCTGGCTTAGCTTGGGACTCAGTATGGAGTTGGGCACTGAGTAGGTGCCAGGCATGGGTCTTGAGTGAATGCAGTGGGCTTATCCATATGGCATGTAGACAGAGACATGAGAACATTATGTATCCCTGAACCATATACCCTTACATGTGACCTCTCAAGATCCAACCCCAGACTCACAATCATGTATTAATTCATTTCTACTTGGGTCAGTTTCAATCATGTTAATTATTTGTGTAGCATGCCTGCCCTGTGTCAGGTCATAGTACTCAGTCAGTCCCTAGAGACTCTTGTCCCTGTGTGGATGTCTGGCATAAAGGCAGAGGGGGAAGCTTGGAGATCAGTGCACCCAGAGCTGGGAGGACTGGGTTAGTGGTGGGGACTTCTGGGGGAGGCAGGGGACCCTAAGACCTGTGCCTCCAAGGCACAAATGAATGGAAACCTTCCCTGATCCAAGCTGCTTGTTCCCATCTCTTCCCACTAGGAGTGGAAGCTGGCTTGGTGGTCTGAGTCAATTTGTCATCTGCCAACAAGTGTGCTATCAGAGGATGGAGCTTCTGGGCTTCTGAGGTACTCTGGTACCAAGGCTGGCATTGTCTTGCATGAGGCTGGTGCATAAGTCATAATGGGCAATTCCAGAATGGACCCAGTACAAATGCAGTATATTCATTTTTCTTCTGACCCACAACTCAAAATATAATACATAACATACAGACCAAACGCCTGACATCAGGGCACTCTGGTTGTTGAACATAGAAGCACAAATGTTCACACACACATACACATACACACATACATCTATACTGCAACAGCCCAAGCCTCTTGTGAGACAGGACCCTGGTACCTTTTGAGTCACCTATGTTGTTGGCTTTTACTTGGGCCACAAATGTTGAGCTGAGGTCAGCCTCTGAGCTATGCTATGATCCTTCTTGCCCCGTCCTCCTTCCCCTTAATGAGTGATGAGTCTCGAAGAGATTCATGGGACTAGTTCTGGGGGACGGAGTGGTAAAGAAAATGTTAGGGCCAGCCAGGATCTGACTTGGAAGAAAGAGAAAAGACTGGCCTTGGGAAAAAAAACCCATCCCATTAAGAAATGGGCAGAGAACTTGACATTTTTTTTCCAGAGAAGACAAACAGATGGCCAGCAGGTACATGAAAAGGTGCTCAACATCAGTAATCATCAGGCAAATGGAAGCCAAAACCACAATGAGATATCACCTCACACTCATTAGAATGGCTATTATCCAAAAAACAAGAAAGATGTTGGCGAGGATGTGGAGAAAAGGGGATGTAAATTGGTACAGCCACTATAGAAAACAGTATGAGGTTCCTCAAAAAATTAAAAATAGAACTGCCATATGATCCAGTAATTCCACTGTTGGGTATTTATCGAAAGAAAACAAAAACCCTAACTTGAAAAAATATATGCACCCTCATATATTCATTGCAGCATTATTTACAACAGACAAGACATGAAAACAGTCTAAGTGTCCATCAACAGATGAATGGATAC